TGAGACGAACGGGACTAGAAATTCGGCACATCGAGACTGCTTTGTCTGGTTGCTACTGTAAGAGTTAGACTTAAGTTAACTTCGACCTAAGAATAACCACTCTTACAAAACTTCTTCACCGCTTCTGGCCTTAATCGTACTCTGCCTAGCGTGCAAGTACTGACGAACGGAATCAAGGTTAAAAGACTTGAGATGGCAAGTGTGACTGTAACAGAATTGTATTTACACAAAAGAGATATGGAATTTGATAAGAAATAAGAGGTATACACTTATCTGCAGGTGAGACGGTGGTAAGCTCGGAGAGTGTGCTAGGTGAAAGCACACCGAGAGAGCGAAACCGAAACCGTACAGGAGGTTCACGAATCCAAAGTGGAAGTGGGGTTAAAGGTCAGGCTGAGTTCGTTCAAACAAAAGTTCGAAGGTACAATGTACACTACACTACCCTCAGGAAGGCCGGTAACTTTAGACTTCATCAGGGTCTGATTAATCTGTGTTATGTTGCCATGCTTGCCAGCGTATGCAAGTATTATTTTGGCATTCCAGGTTCCGTGTTGTTCTTACAAGCTTGTTTCCAGGGTATTTGTTAATCGAATACTTCCCTGGCTCAACTTTTGAAGTCTTCAATTGATTTTAGTTGGTTTTTCCAGTCAGTTGGGCTAGAGTGTCTCGTTTATGGTTTTTTCTTAGTTTTGGTGGAACGCTTCTTGAGATTGTATCGAGATGGAGAAGTAACGTGCTGTTTCTGTTGTCTGACGACAGGCCGCGTGAGACTGTGCCAACGGCGAGGAAGTGGAAACAAATATCAGAACCATAGACGCAGGTATATTCTCGTAAATTCATAGTATGGATCTGGTATCCCTATGTCACAACGGTAGTGCACCCAGTGTTTGCGAAAATTGCATTCAATTGCTGAGTCACTTTTGGAAATAACATAACACATTCTGAGCAGGCGGGTCTTAAGGACCGGTATGTGAGATGTAGTTAATATCCCCGAGTTATTTCCTCATCTGGCTGAAGCCCCAACCACTACAGAATATGGTGTCTAGGGATTTTATGGCTAGTTTCAACCGCCATATTAACAAGTATTATAAATTATGCTTAAATATGAATAAGAGATAGCAACAGTATCTGCAAAATAGAAGAAGAACAAAAAGACTGATGAAATATAAGTTGAGAAAAATAAAAGGTTTTCAACTTTACCTAGGACTTTCAGGCTATTCAACTTCACAGCAGTCACATGGCAGACCAACATGTCTTGTTAATCTGCATGAGTGAGGAAGGCTGAAATTATCCCGCATGCTCAAGGTCATTGGTAGAGTGAGACGCTCAAAGGTCATTTTCGTCCATGTTAGTCGGTTATGTTGGATTGCAGTTCCGTAGCCGTTCGTTTACACATTGGTTTTACGTTCTGTTGTCATTTATAGATGATTCCCATGTACTGATAGCATTCTTTTGTAAAATAGTACTGTTCTTCACACGAAAATAGCCACATTTTGACGTAGTCTTCATTGCATGACACTATGTCGAAAGCTGCAGCTTCTACAAGAAATAAACTATTTGTGTAGATGACATTACCCCCCAACTACCCCATCTTCTTCATTGTAGAGATGTTTTGACGCATTCAGCATGAAACACTAATCATTACAACCAATATGCTAAGTGTGTCGCAGTCAGATTAAATGACGCGGACACCAACATAACTAGCCAGAAAAATGAGAATTCCTATCAATCCAGAAAACACATAACAAAACTTTATTGAAAATTATTGACAAAAAACATTTGCCGAGCGAAATTTCAACCAACATGCCGGATAAGTCCAGCCGTGAGGAAGATGCTGCTACACATGTAGCACCTGAAGCTTTGGTAGTAGTCCAAGACAACTGGACTTATGACAGAGAGGTTTAATTTGGAAGCGATGGTTGAATGTAATCCTACGTCTTGGAAGATCAAGTTTCTCAAGACGAAAATTCACAAAATATATTTTTTTTCCAGTTAGAGAGGAATAATGTGATAACATATGACGCTACGAATCCCATTTTATCATGTGGCCTGAACTGCAATAGTTCACCTAATGATACAATATCAGGAATAAAAAGTTTCGTGAATTTTGAATTCGATTTCATCGTCTGCTGTTTATTCTACGTGTACTCATGGTAACCACTGAGCGGGAGTACAACTTATTGGCGATGCCATTATGTCCTGTGAAGAATAATGCAAGGTTTGAAGAAATCGAGCAGAAAGCCAATAAAAATGGTCTAAGGAGTACTGTTTATTCCGTCAACGGTGATGAGTACAGGGGTGAATGGAAAGACAATAAGCGTCATGGTAAGAAATACTATCTCTATTTGATCATTTATGATGCTTGATGTTTTCTTTTCATGTTGATACTCGATATTCTGAGACTTCACCTCAGAAACACTTCTGGCCTGGAAAATTCTGAATTATAATAAAACTTTTGGGGTATTGGCCCAGGTGGTGAATGCATGCATGCAGACTTAGGGCGCATTGCAGACTTTTCGGGGCAGACTTAGGGCGCGTAGCAGACTTTTCGGGGCAGACTTAGGGCGCATAGCAGACTTTTCGGGTGCATTGCAGACATTTCGGGGCAGACTTAGGGCGCATAGCAGACTTTTCGGGGCAGACTTCGGGTGCATTGAAGACTTTTTGGGGCAGTCTTCGGGGCGAATTCTCAAAAACGGCAATCTGCCCAAAATTTTTTGCCCCGAAAAGTCTGCAGTGCCCCCGAAGAAAATGCTAGCTGGGCACATGCGCAAAGTGGGTAAAACGGCCAATCTTGATCGGCGAAGTTGTGTGCGAATTGCCACATAATATACCCACTTTGTCCATGTTCCGGGAAATATGCCTGTATTCTGAACCATTTTTTCTAGACTTTTCATATTTTTTTGACGCAGAAACTCCCGAATTCTTACCTGAACAGTGGATACTAAGAACTCATGCACTGATTTGGAAAGAACACATCTGTTATAATCCTTTAAAATTCACCAGTTTTAAAGATTTACATGTGGTATACTAAGTTCAGTTATTAAACAGTTTCTATATTCATGTATTGAAATGACCTAGGCAATATCTTGAGATTATCATTTCAGATTCAAATGATAAGGATGGTAGGCTCTTGTGGCCTCTGTTAATCTTTGCAAAATATATTCCTGTAGATATCTAAATTCTCTTTGAAAGCGTTCACCGACGGATCTGTTACTAATGAATCAGGTTAGAAGTTCCATTCGTTGACCACTCTGTGAGAGAATCTGAATTCCGCACGTATTTTAATCTTCCTCGGTTTGAGCACCTTTTTGCTGTGACAATCCTAAATCACACTTAATTATGCGGTATGCTAAAATTAAATCACCTCTCTTCCTTCGGTATAATAACGGGAAGAGATTTAAATGCTACATCCTTTTGTCAAAAAGAAGGTGTGGGATACCACTAACTAATTTGGTTCCTACTCTTTGCACCCTTTCTAAGATATATCCCTCCTTCTTGAAGCATGGACTAGCCACTTGTATCCAATATTCTAGATGGGGTATGACATATATTGAGTAGAGTATTTTAAACATAGACCCATATAATCGTCTGGAGTGCCCATAGCATTCGAAAAGCCTTAGCTACGGCTGCATTGCAGATGTTTTCAAATCATTACTGACAATGATTCCTAGGTCCTTCTGTCCGTTAACATCAGGTAGTTCTGTGTCCCCTAGGGAGTATGACGTATAAGACTTGTGACCTAAGTGCATTACCGCGCTTTTCTTAGAATTAATTTCCAAACTCCACAGGTCCGACCACTCAGCTAATTTATCTAGGTCAGTTTGTAGGGCCGACCTATCATCGTTATTATTTACAGTTTTCCAGATCTTAATGTCGTCCACAAATAATAATGAAGATGAAGTAAGAATCACCGGTAGTTCATTAACGTATAATAGGAATAGCAAGGGGCCTAATACAGTTCCCTGAGGCACTCCACTGGATACTGTTCTCCACCCTGACAGTACACCGTTAACTCTAACATTCTGCCTTCTTTCCATTAGGTAATCCCTAAACCATTCACGTAGGTATTGGTCTAGTCCGAAACCTTTAAGTTAACTAAGGAGACCTAAACGGGATACTTTATCGAATGCATTACTAAGATCGATAAAAACTATGTCCAGCAGGTTTTTATCTCTAGCCTCAACCCAGTCTTCCCTAGCCAATAGTAGGTTTGTTAAGCAGGATCGTCCTGGTCGGAATCCATGCTGTTCTGCCACCAGCAAGCCATGTTTTGCCACATGAACTAAAAGCTGGTCCCTTATCATTGTTTGCGTGTCAGACTTGCCGGCCGGTAGTTAGATACCGATTGCCTGTTCCCCTCTTCGAAGATAGGGCTTATAATGGCATCCTTCCAGTCCCTGGGTAGCTTAGCCTGGGTCAGAGACATTCGGGAAATCTCCGTAAGTGGAATATATATTATATCCACCAAGGAAATCAACAGTTTGGGGTGAAGTCCATCGGGCCCAGGTGATTTACCTGGCTTCAGTACGACAGTCTGAACTATTCGGCTGCTCTCTGTTTTTCCCGACATGTACAGTCATTTGCATATTTACAGAAGTTACAGACTCTTCAATATGGTAAGTACCAATAATGGTTATACGTATATATATTGACGGGTAAAAGTCATGCAATTCACTTTCCTTTCCTGCATTAGCCCCTATGTCTTTCGTACTGTAGCAAAAGATCTCAACATAATTGCATAGTTTTCTTTGAAAGCTTCAATTTTTTGATGTTTATTCATCAAACCATGCATTAAACAGGACGTGGTATATACAAGTGGAAGAAAACAAACTTTATTTACGAGGGAGATTGGGAAAACAATATGCGAAATGGATCTGGAGTCTTAAGCGTTAAATGTAAAAACGGAAAGCAAGTTAATATCTATTCAGGAAGTTGGAAGGATGACAAACGGCATGCAAGTTGTGTACTTATTTTTGTTAATATATTTTTTAAGGGTTATGGCAAGAATTGGTACTCGGAAAATGAAATATATGAAGGCGAATGGTGCTATGGTAAGCGTTGTGGATGGGGAAGAATGTATTATGCTGACGGGAGTATTTATGAAGGACAGTGGGTGAACGACAAACGAGAGGGAGATGGGATGCTTAGATTGGGTAGCTTGAAATATTACAGCCTGAATTTTCAGCCAATGAAAACAGGTTTGAAGGACAATGGTTAAACGACAAAAAGAATGGAAGAGGGAAGTATTTCTTCCTTACTACTGGTCAACTAATGGAGGGAGTATGGTGTGATGATGTGCCGAAAAATTCGCAAATTGTGGACCTTGGCAGAGAGGTAGCAAGAAATCCAACTGAATCTGAAATACCAGAGGTAAGTTTATACTTTCACATACAATTCATTGAAATAACTGAAGGAATGAAACACTCTATCTTTAGGAATTACAAATTAAGTATAATACGGTTTTCACACTAAAACAGAAAATATGTTAACTTCCGATTCCTGATATAAACATATCGATCAAGTGTGAAGCGTCACCTCTAACGTGAACGGATGCATGAAACAGAGATGTAATGTACTTCCACATATTAGTGCATCACGACTCTCTGAGTGCAATCGAAGAAATCAAAATAACCAGACGTTATTCGTTTGGAGTAGAAATCAGTGACGAATTTCTCGATTATATGTGTAACGATAGCTAATTTCGTTGAAGATAAAAATTCTACTAAGCTGAATAAGGTGCAAACTTCTCAATCATATTTTCTGTGCCGAATCGTTACAATACTGAATCATTCGCTCAGAGACCAATCACCTTTCAAAGGCATCAAATGACACTATATCAACTAGAAAACTCAACAAACGAATTGTATTAACGGCAGACACAATTATGCGTTGAAAAGCTAATACGACTAGGGATATTTCAGCCAAAGTAATCTGATGAAATGTGAAAAAGCCTAACTTATGTCACCAAATTGTACAAACACTAATTACTTATAAAATTCTCCGTGTTCTGAATAGAATTTATGCAAAAAACATCATTTCGAACGGTGACTACCATTAGCTATAACTCCTATGAATAAGATTTTTTTACATTCTGAAATATCAACACATTTTTTTAACATATTTATTCATCCGCAAACACGGCTCAAAAAACTCTACACTACTTATTCACTGATTAATTGCATTCCTGACATATTTATAAAATCTCCTTGGTTAACAAAATAAAACCAGTGCCTTTGGGGGGTGAACACAAACGTATAGGAATAACCTCTATCGTCTAATTAATCGTTAGTACAAGGAAGTTACCATGAAACCAAATGCTATTTATCTTAAAGATAGTAACTTATAAGGTTGAGCTTGCAACAGACTGCAGTATAAATTTATACCACTTTATCCACCAAGTAAATAAGCATAAATTCCGCATTTTTATCCATTTGAAATTGTCGTAAATGTGGTTTCATACAAATCATTACAGTTCATATGAACACAGGGAAAAGAATTTCGCACAATCACAGATGATTTTAATGAAAAGGAGTACCTTGCACTTTATTCGTGCGTAATTTGGTAATCCTACCATACATGCATAATGTCCCCACACCTAGAGTTTTAGTATTCTGATTCAAGGATACGTACTGCTCTACACATCAATAATTTCACCTAGGCTCAAAAGGTTGTGATCATTTACATGTGAGCAAAGATTTTAAGGTCATTAAATTTGACCAGCAATCTCAATACAGTGGAACATTTTTCCCAACCGTACAGTCAAAAAGAACTGACACCGAACAAATTAAATCTAAATGAGGAACCTATTCACGATTTCCCATTCATATTTTCTTGTTAAATCATATTTTATTAACATTCTCACTTGGTCGGCCTTTACTCTTCATGTACTGAGTCAACTAGGACATTAATTTGACATAAAATCTTTGATAGAACTATTTAACTCGATGCAAGTTATGAAATGGCATTACTATAAATTTGGGAATGCAAGTTGTTAGAGAGATAAGGTACATTTTCACTTGATAAACTACTTTCTATTAATATCAACAAATTATCCCTAATTGATGCACACTCCAGGTGATTAAAAATCACAAGTCAATTTCTTGAATAATATCCTTTTTCAGCGTGAATGATATGACTGTTACTAATAAGACACATTTCTAACGACAACTCAATCGACGTACATCTAATATAAACAAAACGATACTGGAAATAATCATAATTTTCCTAAATGTTCGGAAGTGTGAATACTTCAGATTGATTCTGAATAATGTTATCATAGAAATACAGTCTGAAATTACATACGCCGAAAGTTTAGAGCGCAGCGCAATTCTGCATTATCAGTGCTATACGTCAAGTCAACAGTACTCTCACTGGGAAAACGGTTATTTACAAGAGATATTGTAAGAAGCCACTATGCCGTTAGTGATATTGTGGGTGATTGGTGCATTCCACAACTATTACTAAAATGGCGTTACACGAAAAAGTATGATTTTATTAACCAGATGTAGCTGAATACGTTTATTGATGATAGGAAGAAAAATGCTGTAATGATACGACGATCTGCAGTTCAATGAACGCACATAGACCCTATGTTATTTATACAGTATATCATATTAAAATTGTGGACAACCACAACACCATGAATACTCTCAGAGCAGAACCATACCCGATAGTTTGCAGTTAAAAATTAATTTTCTTCCCCTACCTGCAACGATTTCTTTTCAGAAGAGTAACCTACATATTTAAGCCCATCCATCTAGACTAAGGAAGTTAATTCTTTTTAAACAAGCCATTAGATAAGAAATATCTAGATGGGTGAAATCCTCGACAATACACCTGAATCAGAATATAACAAACAAACAAAAAACTAAAAGAAGGCTCATAGAATTCAGTTACTCGAAATAGAAGCATCAGGATATGAACCCTAAATTACTGCGCAACAGGTTGAAGTATGTGGAGTGAAGCCCAAACCCGATGTCTATTGGCTAGAAGTCAAGTGTTTAATACAAAGAGCAGAAACTCTACTACTGATAAGATAAATGCCGTAGAATTTTCTGTATCCAAGCGGTAGATAGACTTTATAAACAACTCAAAACTTTGTCCATTATCATCTTATTGAGGAGTCTTTTAAAAAAATGAACGCTAGCTAGACGTAAAACCAAAAGCTAACTAACTGACAGATACACATATACAATAGATATATACCGACGGAAACTCGGGAGTTCGAAATAAATATAAAGACTTTAGGCTGGATTAGAGAGCCTGCTTCTATTGATAAAGCGTTATCACCTGGAAATAACACTGTGGCTATGGATTCATTCAATCTTGTAGGAACACTAACCAATCTGAAGGAATTGATTAAGAAAGTAATCGTTAACAGTGCATAGAAGAGTAATTTGAACATTTATAACAAAGAAAATTTTATCCGTGAATATAATTCATAAAAGTAATCTGAACCAGGAGAAATATAGAATAAGATCAAAATTCAGGGTTTTTTTTCAACGGATATACACCACAGAGAATCTCCTAAGAACGAAGAATAAACATTATGTAGAACTATTAAATATATTTTTTGTTTCCAGATAAAATTGGAGGATCCAAACGGTGTACTTAGAGAAACACAAGAAAAACTGATGGAGAAGATAAATTCACGTAGGATGAAGAAGTCGTAATAGAACAACGAAATCCATTTGTGTACAACTCGAATTAATAAAGGGTTATATATGCATATACTACTACCACCCTAATTCACACACAGGCATGTATACACAATAAAAAGATGACAATATCAAAAAGCTTACAATATATAATTTATTATTTAATAAAATACGTATGAATTACAAAGAGTAAAAATACACTGAGTTAATAATCGAAATGTACAAACTTTACAAATTTAGTAATAGCATTAGTAATAATTATAAAAAACAGAAAATGCGCTATAAAACAAATTGAACAATATATAATAACAATAACATGGAGGGGGGGCGTATGTATAAATGCCATTATATAAGTCAAAACACTGATAAATCCCCCCCCCCGCTTATTGAGAAACAAAACACACCGATATAGTTGGGAGGAACAATATACCTCTCCTATCTGTTTAATAGGATGTATTATAACAACAGAGTAACAGCAGATTGTTTATTCAAAATCGCCTAGTCGAAGGGGTTGTTTTACATTGTGAGCTTCAGGAAAACGTAAACAATACTTTGCATCTCTTAGGAATTTGACAGTTAACAAACGACCTACAAAAAACAAAACAAGACAAAATAAAGGACTGGGAAACAATAATTATGCTAGTGATCTACGACTTAAGGATTCTATCGGCATACTAAATGACGACTACTTCATGAGAAAATTTGCAAACTTTAAGCAGCGATATCTGTCTTATTGACGGAATATATCATAGTGAGTGAACCATAACATTCGATTAGTTTCTATGAGTTCAGAATGATAACGATAAGACCCGTGTTTATAATTCTTACATGGCTTTAGCTTATCACATCATAATACATAGAAATTGTCTTGCAGTATAGGTCTAAAATAGAACCACTGAGTAAATATGGTGAAAAATCTATGAATATGAAAAATGTTTTATATTATATTTTGATCATAGCTTGATTCCACACCACATTTTGCTACAAACATGGAATTTTCAGTATGTGATATTTGCAGCCCAAATTCCGCAGGCCGACAATTGATATCAGGTGTGCGTCAGCAGAGTATCAGACCCCAGACCATGTGCATGGTCGACGAGAGTCCTAAGCACTGTGCCACCGACGCACATGAGCTTGAATGAAGTGAACTTTATTCAAAAATTAGCTCCTGTTTCCCGACTGAAAACGATTTCCATACATATCTTAACGACTCAATCAAGTGAGTAGTGATTTCATGAGTTGGCTGGAGTGCTTCTAACAACCTTACAATTTAATTCTAAGACACGGGCACGAAAATATCTACATTATTCTACATCATCTTGAAATCTGTAAGGGTCATACTGAGAATGATAAGTAGTAGTTGTTGTTGTACAAAGAAAGTGCAACTTTAAATCAACATACACTTTTCAAACCAAACAGAATGTAATGTTATTTTGAGTTATACACAGAGCAACGGAAATTCACACATAGAACATAGAATATCTAGTGTATAATTGAGTGAAATGATGACAATTATCCCAATCAAAGAAACAGTCTACTTACCATCAAAATAATTGGCGTGTATTGAATGAAATACGCGGCCTGCAGTATCAGCATCTCCACATTTGACATACACTAAACCCTAAAGTAAAATAAATTCAGAAAATATGAATGTGACACTTATAGAAACATCAGTGAGGCAGCACATAAATGCCATCATACACTCAATAAACAAATAATTTTATGAAAAAGAGAAGACGTTCAGCGAAGAGACTCTTTTCGGCGAATTCATTCACATAGCTGTACAATCGCATTTATATATAAATATTTGTGTGTGTGTGTACATGAGGTTTGTCAAGTTTAGATAATTGATTAGTTAATACAAGAATGATGTAGTATAGAGACAAAGTTAATCAGACAGCAACTAAAGTAAGATTGAGTTAAAAAGCTAGATGACGCAGTATAGTTGACTAAAATGTTTCAACTTAGATCGGGGTAGCAACAGAGGTAATTACAGGTAGGGATTAAGTATAAGTTAAATTGAGCAAATAAGTTGGATGACGTAACATAAATGACTAGAAATTGGACGTTGGTCAAGTCAGTAACAGTGGTAATCAGGTGTAGAAATTAAATCGGGTGGGGGTAGAGAACAAGAAAGTTGAAAATGAAAAGTATTACAATTGAGAAGACAAAATAATACTAATGTCTGTCTCTTTTCTGTCTCTTCATTACACACACACACATATCGTACACTAAATGAACACCTGAATATTAGCTCTTTTAGATAGTTCCTTGATATTCCAATGTCTATGTTATTAAACACAATAAAATTATAGGGGACATACAGTTTCTAATAAAGACGCATTTGTAAATCTGCTTGTAAACATTTTCAGACGAGTCATTTTGACCCAAGTAGATTGATTTCTAAAGTTACCTACAAAAGCCAATTCAACCAGTCTAGGAATGTACATTCTTGTTACCCACATACAGTTGAAGCTCTAGCCCCATATATGAACAAAAACCTAAACTAAGTATTCACAAACTGTTTGGCTAACACTCCTTTCTGTACATTGGCTCGAATGATGTCTCATTCCGCTTCACTTAGTCTTCTTTATTATGATTGTCATTATCGTCATTATCATTTCAGTTTTTTGACAGACAGACGCCTTACATCCACTTTTTAATCCTCTTAATACCAATCTATTTCTTTTATTTAACAACCTTATGTACCTTCAAGATTCTACGGTCAATCAAAGATACATAAACCCACAGTTCCATTAAGACCAGTTATAGATTTCACCAACTCACCGACATACAACCTATCTAAATACTTACTCTCGGTACTACAACCACTACAAAAGGACACTCAAAATATTGTAAGGATAGAATATGTAATCGAAATACTTCACAGGTTAAAACATTTCTTTGTAACTTAAGAATTCCATATTTAGACATTTAGGAAAAACAAACTCTATATGAAGATATATATAAATATTCTTTTCCGGTTAGTTAGTTAGTTACTTATCATCAACCCTACGGTTATACACCGATCACACAGCGATGCTGTGCTAATCGATAAGAAGTATTACTTTCGAGGCATTTGAGAGGTGAGAATAATTACGAGGAATAATAGCCACTTGATTTTGAACAATGAGACAATGGACATATTTGAAGGATAAACAGAGACCTCATCTTTCATTTCACAGCTTTTTCATCAGCTACTACTAACAGTCTAGAAATGGAGATAAGTCATTATAAATGCGAAAATATACAAAGCATACTTCAAATATTATTTCAACTCAAAGGGCATAGAGTAGCTAGGGCTTATTTTCTCTCTCTCTCTCTCTATATATATATATATATATATATATATATATATATATATTATCAATCAGGTGCTTGCTTATCTACTGCATTTGCGTACTTGATTGACACGGTGGGCAGTTAGTCAAGATCAGTCGCGCCTTTAAAATAGCCAATATACAGAGAAAAACCTGATTACTATGCCCTTTGAGTTGAAATACTTATGTGAAGTATGTTACATATTTATCCGTTTATGATAACTTATGACATTCTTAGGCTGCTATCAACACTGATGAAAAGCCGTGAAATAAAAAACATGAGCTGTTTTCATCCTGCAAGTATATTCGTTCTCTGTTTGTTCAAACTAATCAAGGGAACTGGTTGCATGTGAAAGACCATTTGATTCGTAGAAGCTACTAACAAGTCATTACGCAATCAATAATTTGTAAGCAAATAACTGAGAAGAATAGGTGAATTCACTTAGTTCATAATTACGTCGAAAAATCAAGATACGAGTAAGGTTAGTTGAATCAGCTAAGATACTAATAGTAGCAAAATAAAAATAACCATATCACAAAGAAAAAAGGAAAAGTTCATTCTAAGGTTTTGTGCATACTATGCGGCTACGGAACAGTTGTACAACAACGCTGCATGCCAAGTAATCCACAACGAGAAACTCACGAAATCCTACGAAGTAAAGACGGTAGTAAGACAAGGCTGCCTACTATCGCCAATAATTTTCCTGATTGCAGTAGATTGGATAATGCGACAGACAGCGGGAAATGAGGAAACAGGCATAAAATGGACCCACACAAAAAACTTGGAGGATCTGGAGTTCGCCGATGATATATGTCTGATTTCCCACAAACTGGTAGATATGCAAGTGAAAATCGACAAGATGGTAGAAGAAGCATCCAGAAAAGATAGGACTTCAGGTGAACATAGAGAAAACAGAGGCGATGAACATTCCTGGGCAACACCAACAGCAACAACAGGCAACAATCAGCATAAATGGGAGGAACCTGAAAGAAACAACCCTCCTTCACCTACCTGGGAAGCATCGTTTCAACTACAGCCGGAACTGACGAGGATATCAAAGCAGGGATCGGGAAAGAAAGACACGCTTTCATTACTCTCAATTCTGTGTGGAGGTCAACAGCAATCAGCATCAAAAATAAGATCCGGATTTTCAACTCCAATTTGAAGTCAGTGCTACTCACTATACGGATCAGAGAATTGCACTGCGCGTCATAAAGAGCATCTCAAACAAACTACAAACCTTCATCAACAGCTGCCTTCGCTCAATACTCAAGATCAGATGGCCAGCCAGAGATCTCTGGGAGCGAACCAACCAGAAACCGATTGTGAAACAAATAAGCAGGAAGAAATGGAGATGGATTGGCCATACTCTAAGGAAACCATCAAGTGACATCACTAGACAAGCCCTCGAGTGGAATCCGAAAGACAACAGGCGAGTTGGTCGTGCAAGGGTGACTAGGGAGAGTAGGTCATGTGCACAGGAGATGAAAGCATGTGGACAGACTTGGAGCCAGGTGGAAACTTTAGCAGAGAACCGAACGCAATGGAGACGTGGAGCTGAAGCCCTATGTTCCTATAGGAATTAAAGGAAACAATAATAATGTGGCTACGGACTAAGGCAAACAAAGAGGCTGTACAAACTTCTCTTGAATGAATATACGGATCTGGTGCTGTATGTAAAAGTCAAACTCATA